TCAGCATTAAACACACACTCTATCTCTCTCCTTCCAAGAATTCAGGAGGTTGGCCCCTCGAAGAGCCCTAAGTTAGGTAGGTTCCTAACAATTTGGTATCAGAGCCAGCATGACCAAYACAAGAAACACGTCAGTAGACACCCGAATGGATCAGATGGAGGTAGAGATCCATCGAATGTCTTCAAATCTCAAAGAAATGAAGGAAGGCTTCACTGCACTCCTCCTTCGACTGGGGCAGGGGGCAACGAACACTGATAGAGGAAGGCAAGAAGAGCGCAACAATGAAAACAACTGCAGAACAGGGGCGGCAACAAGAATAGCCAAAATCGACTTCCCCATCTTCTCAGGCGGCGACCCAACTCCTTGGATTCTCAGAGCCGAAAGGTATTTCGGTTACCATGAAACACCGGGGCAAGATAGGGTAGCTCTGGCTTCTACACATCTTGAAGGGGAATCTATCCTCTGTTTTCAATGGTACAGAAGGGGGCACCCTTGTCAAACCTGGGCAGACTTCACGGATGCCATGATTGTCCGTTTTGGATCATCTGGGTTCGAAGATCTTAATGAAAATTTGGCAAAGCTGCGGCAAGTGGGATCAGTAAAAGAATACCAGATGGAGTTCGAAAGGCTAGCCGTGAGAGTCCAAGGGTGGACGGAGAAGGCATTGGTGGGAAGTTTCGTCGGCGGCCTAAAAGAAGAACTGCGACTGGAAGTGAAAGCGATGCAGCCCACTTCGGTCATCAATGGAGCAACACTAGCAAGATTGTATGAGGACAAGTTCAGTCGCGCCAAGAAAGGTGCAGCGACCATGGGGTCCAGAAGCAAGAAGGGAGCAAGGAATATTGGGCCCAGGCCCACTAGTTCCTTTCAAACAGCTGACGTGGGTAGAGATGCAAGCCCACAAATACAAAGGTCTTTGTTACAACTGCGAAGAGGAATTTGAGTCGGGCCATCGCTGCAAGAAACAACAAGCGCTTCTCCTCCAAACAGATGCCAAAGAGGAAGACGATATCACGGGTTGCGGAGAATCTAACACAGGGTGGGAAATACAATCCAATGGCACGCCTGAAATATCCTTACAAGCCCTTATGGGACTTGCGTCCCCTCAAACAATGAGAGTTGCAGGGCTGATTCTAGGACGCCAAGTGTCGATCCTCATAGACAGTGGCAGCTCCTTTAACTTCACAACTCAAGTCTTAGTGGATAAAATGGGACTTACGGTTCAACCAACAACGACCTTTACGGTTCATGTGGCCAACGGTAACAACCTATCTTGCAATAGCATTTGCATGGGCCTACCACTAATGACTAGACCTGTTCATGGGCCGGGTGGCCCGATGGCCCGGCCCGACCCCCAGACGGGCTTGAACACGCATATGGGCCCATGGGCTTAACCTCGGGCCAAAAAGCCTGGCCTGCAATAAATTCAGGCCGGGCTCGGGATTTGCCAAAACAGCCCGGCTCGACCTATAACTAAACCTAAAAACCCTAGTCAAAGACCCCCTCTTTTTTTAACCTCTTTGCCTCTTTCCTTTCTTTTTCCAGTCGAACCATTCTTCTCCAATCTCCACATCCTCCACAGTTCTCATCCTCACACTCTCAGGCAGCCACACAACCGGCAAGGTGGCGAACGTTCACCGGCGCAACAACTCCGGCGGTGAGTCCTCACTCCTCTCCTCTCTCTCTCTCTCTCTCTGACTCTCTCGTTCCTCTTCTCAATCTCACTTCTCTTTCAAATCTCAGACACCGGCGACGGCAAGGCGACGAATATAGGCACCGGATACGGCGGTGAGTTCTCTCCCTCCCTCCCTCTTTCTCTCTCTCTTTCTCAGACGCTAACTGATCACTTTTAAACTTAAAATCGCAGGTCACAGCTCAACCACAATCACCACGAACTCAGTTCTGACGAACACAATCGGGCTTTGGGCTTTTTATCAGGGTTGGGCTCGGGCCCAAGGTGTAGGCCTGTTGGTCGGGCTCAGGCTCGGGCCTAACAAATTTTCATTAATGAAGAGTAAAAGCCGGGCCCGAGCTCGACCCGGCCCATGAACAAGTCTATAATGATTCAGGGTCATCAGTTTGCGGTGGACCTATATCCTCTCCATCTTAGTGGAGCTGACGTGGTCCTAGTGTTAGATAGTGTATGCCCTTAGCTCTAATTAGAATGTACCTTATGACATTTAATGTAAATGAATAAAGTACATATTTGATTCATGTTATTGTGGTGTGTTTCTGTGTAGTACCCTTAAACTGGACACATATGAGACTCGTGTTAGTTTAGAATGTTCACAGCCGTTGGGTAAGTTTGGGGAGATTTATCTTGCCAAGGCTGATACTGATGTGCTGCCAAGTTGATTGGGGTGGCTTGTCTCAGCTGCCAGGGTGGGACCTGAGGTACATGCAGTGTGGGTTATCTTAAAACCCTGAATCGGACCTGAATTCCAGTATTGCCTTGGACCTTGGAGATTGATGGGCAAAACTGGAAAGTTACACCTGACCCCTAGACTCGATTAATGTACTGCACTAGGTGTCGGATTGGGTTGTCTTTGATATGCCAATCAGTGAGATCATTAGAGGGGGTCAAAACCTGGGTATGTTGGGACGGTCTGAGAATTCATCTGAGTGGGTGATCATAGTGACAGGATCA